ACAGATCTTTTTACGCGATGTATTTTTCTCGGTGCAGATTTAAATGCCCTTATATCAAAAATAACGACAGTAGGCTCGAACATTTAAGTGTCTACTTGATAAATACTAATTAAAGTTATTAATAATTAGAAACACTAAAAATAAATGTAATTAACAGTAACATTGCATCAATATTATAATTTCCCACTCAACAATATAAATATAACACACGTAATAGTTATTATTGAGTACAAAATTGTAACATTGATGTAATTTCTAAATATTTCTATTGAATATTTGAATATCCTGGCATTTCATTATCGAATTATCAACTCTACGCTGCGCGTCTCGAATTCGCAATACCTTCGTGTTCGTAACGCCCCACTCTCACGAGCGACATTATTGACAGCCTTTTGTAGAATTATTCTCGCCAGGTATTCGCAACTAATCGTCGAAGTACAAAACGGTAGGTCGTACGATTAATCCGTTTTTTCTAGTCGTCCTTACTATTATCTTTAACCCCCGTTCGTAAGTCGCAGCAAGTAATCATAAACGTCGAGGACTATTTTAATGTAAATGCGAACACAAATCGCGAGCTCGTGCAACGGCGCAGGTGACGTTCAATCAGGTGCGTTGAGATAGACCTATCAGAATGATAAGACTTTTGGAAATCGCGTGATTTTTTTCCCGATGTTATGAATGGAGTGCCAGGTCGACCAGCACAGGTTCGCGAGTATTTCATATAGAACAACAAAGTGAAAGATTTTGTATTCCAAGCGCAGATTTCTCTTTCATTCGCGAGCGCACGCTATGTATTAGCTGGAAAAAATTGATCTTCGTCTGATTACAACTTTGTATACGAATAACGTAACAAACAGGCAAATATAAAGATATTTTTTTCTCGGACAAATAAGAAGGTGTCATTGATCACTAATTATCCCCGATTGGGGAGAAGAGATCATACAATCGGGAAAAAGAAATTGGTATGCGCACGCGACTGAAAGATAATTTCGAACCATTTTCCGTGCTACATTACATTTTAATTAACAACTCATTCTACCATCCGATATCGAAACATATCTCGTTTACGCAAGAATGTTGCATCCTCAGCCGAGCAAAACGGACTTGAGTCACGCTAATAAAAACGGAACATAATATTCATATCGAGGCCTCTTTAAATGATGCTTCTCGAATATGCATGAGCAATTTTATGCGAATTGAAATAATCGCAAGTGAAGTGTCGTAGAATGTCATGAATTATTGCGTTTGTGACAATTCGAAACGTATGATCGAATTCGCATAAAAATATGCGTTTCGTGTAAATTCGAACATCATGTACAAGGTGGTTTCAGACCGAACTGGCATGACGAACGATCGTGAAGAAATATTCACGACGATTCGTATAAAGAGAATTTTTCTTATGATGCACCGATAAAAGAACACACGTCGATTCGGACTTTCTTCGACTATCATCCAAATAAATTTGTTCCTTCACGCTCGTTCCAGTTCCAGTTCCTTCCTTAGCTTGGATTCGCCTTACAATAGAATGTTTTTCTAGTCAAATAATCGACGCTGTGATTGTCCACGCGCATAAAGCGAGACGAGTTTACGTGTAATTCTTTTTGTAAATTCCCGAGGGACTTTTAGTGCACCATAGTATCGCGCGACGCTTTCAACGCCGGTAAATAGAGTGCCTATATTTGCATTTTACGTGAAACCGCCTATTTAACGCGCAGTGATTAACATTCGAGTTCCAGCGACGCAAACAATGATGTAACAGCCTGTATCTTTTCCTTTCGGTCCGGAGGGCTTGTCATTATTTTTGCGCGTACTCCACGTTTAAGCCGCACTATATTTCCTCAAGTTAGAAACTCTATGCAGAATCTGGTTATGAGTGATTGTCCGCCTTTTGTCAAAATACGAAAAAGAAAGACAATCATTTCTCTTTGTATATACATATACTACCTCATTCTAACATATACTGTTTTACTTTATAACTTTAAAATTAAAATTATAGCGAGACAGTTAGATTAAATAGTATATATATGTACATATATATATTATATGTATATATATATATATATATATGTATATATATAGAGGAAGAAAAAATTATATACATATATACCTTTCTCTCTCGTAGGATTTTGACAAAATCGTTCGTGACCAGACTCTGAGATAGGGTATCTATCTCAAGTTATAATAAAAAGAAAAGAGATTCGGGATTTGCGCGAAATGGATCCAATTCCATTTGTTTCATTCACTCCCTGCTGGGCAGACACTTAACACGTGACTGAGCTCCAAACTGTTCGGCCTAGCTCCTCTAGTTAATCCAGATATGTTGAATCTTCTCCTCCTTTTACGTTGGATGCTTCATTTTTCTCCTTTATTGATGTAGTGTTAAAACTACTATGCTTAAAGAAAGAAAGAGGAAGAACGCTGTCATGTAAATTTCACGACTGAGTATATCTTAAGACAATTCCACACACTGTGTCCGATTGGGACGAGTTCTCTCGTTCGAACGCGATACGTATTGTTAATTCAGTTCTTGCCTTAGTGCTAACGATAATTCTGTATATGTGCAATGTAATTTTGTTACCGAGTACATTATACGATTATCGACTATTTGTAAATAAAGAAAAAAATTACCACGCGTAAATGCGAACGTGCAGATTTATTTCCTCGCAATCGAGTTTCATCACGACTGAACTTTGATTTTAACTTAATTGATAATTAATTCAATAATTATTTACTTATAGCAAAACTTCAATCATACATAATTTATCATCTTTAATCCAATTTTTCCACGTGTTAGGTAATGAAAAATTGACAATTTTAACATATTAACAAAATACTTTAGAAGTTACTTGACGAATTAATCCTGCGAAATTATGTAGCTTCTAATTATTTTTTATGTATATATTAAAATAAAAAAATTTTTTTTATCTACGATTCTATCATACATATCTGTATAAAATAGATTCTATATTATAGTAAGAAATGATAATGAAATTGATGTCAAATCTATGTTGATTCGATGTCGATTTCATTATCATTTCTCACTAGATATAATTATAGATATTTCTTGATAATACAATAAACAAAGTTCTTGACGAGAGATTCAAACGGAATATTGAAGACAACAAGCAAACTGCATTTGCTTGAGGCACCTGATCACTTATCATAGATCTTCAGATTGATGACGTCAGAAGGGAGGACATACACAATGAAAATTCTTGCAAAATACATTAAAATAGAAACATTTTTTAATAAAACGATATTTGCATTCGATACAGTATACTTGTAAAGTATATCAAAAACTTTCTTTTTACTTCGGATTTTATAGACTAAAATAATCTCTCTCTCTCTCTCTCTCTCTCTCTCTCTCTCTCTCTCTCTCTCATTTTAAGTTATCTATTTCTAGTTATTTGTTTATTGATTATCGGAATACAAGAAGATTTTTTAGTATATTTCATAAATCTATTCTATTGATTGCAAATGTTATTTTATGAAAAAAGTATATTTTAACAATTATGTATTTTTTTAAATACATATTTCTCGCTTTTGATATTACAATCGAAGATAGTTGCAGTGAGTAACAATGAATTAAGTTAGCAAATCTGCTAATGTAATCTGACAAGAAATTTCCAACGAAAATTGAACAGGATTTGTCACTCTTTAAAACTGTATTTAAATAAAATTAATATACCATTTAAATAGTTACGAAATGTCAGACTTTACTTACACTTAATTTTTACAGTTAATTTGCTCTCATATTTTCCTAGTAGATTCTATTTTATTTCTGCAGATTCTATTATATTTTGTCAAAAAAATTTCCAGAAAAGTTACTTTACAAAAACCGATTTTCCACAAACTTTGCTACTTGAGAAGTTAATCTTTCGATTACCAATAAAATCAAAGTCATCCTAAATTTTCTAATATTTCAGTTGCAAAATTTATTTGCAAAATATCCTAAAAAAAAAAATAAAGTAAAAACTGATAAATTTTAGATATTTTTTAAACAATGATGTGTAGCTATATACAGGGTGTTTGATAATTTTGCTGACAACATTCATGGTAAAACCGATTAAACTGAGTCAAAAGCTATGAATCTAAACCTATACCATTTTGCAATTTTCGCATTGATAGTTAACTATTAATTTCTAAAGATCGCCGAATAAGCGTTTATCCATCCAAGCCATACTGTCAGATGCTAGCAAATTTTCAGATAACACAATTGATCCATTTGAACTTGAAAAGAATTTATTTTCTTGACTTCTTTTTAAATTAGCAATTAGTAATTTGTTCGAAATGAACTTAAAAAGAATTTCTTTCCGATTAACAAAGAATTCCATAAAAGTACTTCTTACAGAGTTAAATTGAAGTTAATTTAAAGAAACCCTTTTTCTGTTCGTAATGTTCGTAAATGTTCTGTTCGTAAAAAAAAGTGTTTTTTTGGCTTGGTCGCAATTAATATAGTTGACAAAATTATTCCCGCTACAAGTCATAATTTGCCGCCACTAGAATTGTACCATGCTTGAGCA